TCATGCCTAGGGTACTCAGAGGGGAGTCGGCAACCTCCAGGGCTCCCACGCTACAGGAGCAACGTGCTGGAGCCCACAGGCTTCCACGTGTCTTGGGGCTCAGCCTTTGCATGTTCAGGGGCGCCTCGAGCTCAGTTTGTTTGAACAGACCTCTACTCTGTCCCTCATCTGGATGCAGACTACCAGCCTCAAGGATCACTTGAAGCCAGCAGTTCAAGACCAGCCTGGGCAACATAGTGAAACCCCTGTCTCTACAAAAAATTTAAAAAACAATAGCCAGCTGTGGTAGTGAGTACCTATAGTCCCAGCTACTATGGAGGCCTAAAATGGCAGGATTGCTTGAGCCCAGGAGTTCAAGGCTGCAGTGAGCTGTGATTGTGCCACTGTACTCCAGCCTGGGTGACAGAGCAAGACCCCATCGCTAACTAAAAGTAATAATAATAATAAAGTAATAATCATAATAAAATTTAAAAGTGATAATAATTTAATCAGCCTCCACTCTTCCCCAGATCCATTTCCTGGCCAGCTGGGATGGGGGTCTCATTTGCTCAAAACCATTCCAAGCTCTCCTTTGCCCTCAGGATGAAGTCTAAGGTGCCACAGGTGACCAACACAGCCCCGTATTAACACAGTTCTCAAGAGCCCAGACTTTGGCTTCAGGTGCACCTGAGTTTGAATCTTGGGGCTGGTCCAAGACTCCAATGCAAATGGACTTGAGCTTGAGAGCTTGAGCAATTCCCTTCGCCTCTGGAAGCCTCAGTTCCCTTGAATGTAAAATGGTGATAATGGCAACTGCTATAAAGGCTATGATGAGGTATCTGCACCCAACCCAGGGCTTGGGACACAGCAAGAGATTTGGAGGCCATTGCATGGCATGAAGGTTGAGGATGTGGTGGGGCACGATGACTGCCAGGACCAGCGTTAGACATGCTGAGGCTGAGAGGCCTATGTGTGTCCAAGGGAAGTGTCCAGGGGCAGCTGGACATGTGGGCCTGTGGTCAAAAGGGAGGGCTTGGCCAGAAAGCAAGCAGGGAGGTCGCCAGCATGTGAATAGAAAGATGAGCTCATTGTGTGGGGAGGGCCAAGGGTGAGGCCTCCACAGCCAGAGCTTCACCCACAAGGAAGAGAAGCTGGAGAAGGAGGCTGAGAAGGAGAGGCAGTGAGGTAGGAGGAAACCCGGCAGCCATGGCTTCGCAGGCACCCAAGGGAGACAGGGCTTGGGGCAGGAGAAAGCCAGCAGGGCCGAGGCTTTGAAGAGGCCAAATTAGCTGAAACCAGAGATGGGTCTATAGGATTTGGGAACTAGGGGGTTAGGAGGGGGAGCTGGTCCCAGGCAAAGGCCGGGAGGGGAGAGTGGTGATGGTGATTATGGACAACTTTAGAGAAATGCAGCTGAAAACAGGAGAAAACACAAGAGAGACGCTTTTTTTTTTTGAAACAGAGTCTTTCTCTGTCACCCAGGCTGAAGTACAGTGATACAATCTCAGCTCACTGCAGTCTCCGCCTCCCGGATTCAAGAGATTCTCCTGCCTCAGTCTCATGAGTAGCTGGGACTACAGGCATGCGTCACCACACCTGGCTAATTTTTGGATTTTTAGTAGAGGCGGGGTTTTGCCATGTTGGCCAGGTTGGTCTCGAACTCCTGACCTTAGGTGATCCGCCTGCCTCGGCCTCCCAAAGTGCTGGGATTACAAGCATGAGCCACCGTGCCCAGCCACAAGAGAGATGCTTGTGGAAAGGGATACGGGCTTGAGGTTCCCCATGGGTGAGGCTAGCGCCAGTACACTTGCTGCTAGGGCCAGTAGTCAGTTGCTACATCTGTGGTGCCCAGCACAGGGCCAGGGCCTGGCATGCAGTAGGAACTCAACACAAGTTTGCTGTCTTTGAGGACAGGGAGCAATGGGGTCTAGGACCCTGGCCACTGGCAGGAAGAGGGACCCTCTGCCATTCTGCCAACAGGAGGCGTGGTGGGGGTGAAGGCTTGAAGCAGAGTGCAGGGCAGGGGCTCCTTGGGAAACTGCAGCCTCTGACCTGAGGCTGACAAGTCAGTGCTGAGTGCTCTGCTCCAGGAACCCAAGTACAGTCAGAAGACAGAGCGTGAGGGCTCCTGGAGTCTGCCACTTGGTACCCCCTACTCTAGACATCTATTCCCCTCTCCTCAATCCAGCAGTCAGTCGGTTACCTGGTCTTTATCTCCTTCAGAGCCGTGCTCTCCCTACATGGCCAGCAGAGGGTGCCAGTGAGCTGCTGGACTGCGCTGGAGGAGACCAGAGCCAGCCTGCCCACCCCTCTGTCCTCCAGAGCCTGGGGCGTGCTAAGGGTTTGGTTAACCAGGTTTCTGACCAAGGTGGGGTGGAGGCTGGGATAAAGGACTAAGGGAGGCTGTGGGCTGAGGGCTTAGGGGCTGAGTGGATCAGGGGCTCTGCTCCTGGTCACCCTTCATTCCTCTGCCCTGCCAGACCCTGCTTTATCTGTTGAGGCTCCTGCCCACTGCCCCTCTCCACTTCTCTTCCCTGGAAGGCCCTGACAGCCTAGACTCCTGGTTCTAGCAGAGGCTGGTTTTCTGCCCCTAGGCAGGCACGACTTGGCACCAGGCCTCAGACAGGGCTGGGCCAGCTTCTCCCAGCCATGACTGCCCTAACCACCCTGTACTTCTAGAACGTCTCCACCTAATGAGGGATAAGGGGTCAGTGGCTGAGGAGGCCACAGGAGCTGGAGCATAGGTTCTGGGAAGGAGGAGGTCTGGGCTAGGAAGTAGGATGAATGGGCAGGGAGAGTTTACATAAAAATGTGGCAGATGGTCCAGTCCCACCAAGACCCAAATCCCATAAGACTAATGGCTCTGCCTGAGGTGGCATGAGGTTCCAGAAGCTGAGCTGGAAATACCCCCTTCCTCATCCTAACCACGTTATACTTACTCTTCAGCTAAACGCAAATCCCAACATCGCCTCCCAGCAAGTCTCTCTCCCCATCGTGGCCTTTGCGGTTCCTTCCCAGGACAGTGTAGGACCTTGCTTCTGTCTCTGTCCTTATCTTGCCTTCCTGCCCCATCCCCCTACTCTTCAACTCCTGCTTTAGCAAGTGCTAGTTCTATCTGTGTCACTTTGACCTTGAAGGCTCCCCAGGACCCTCATCTCAGCTTCTACTCCCTTCCCCAATCCAAGGGGAAGGCTCCAATGGACTGAGGCTGGAGAAACCACAGCCAGACTCTTGGTGGGGTGGCTAAAGCTGGGGGGTCTGGCCAATCCAAGCTCTACAGCTCAAATCAGGAAGTCAGGCCAGGAGCGCTGTGTCTGTCTCTGAGCCTGGGCCATACATTCACCGCAACAGGAGTCAGTGACTTTGGAAAAGGAATGTTTCCCTGAGTTTCTAGAGGCAGGATGACCCAGACTGAAGGACAGAGAGTTACCAGAAACACACACAACACACACAAACGTACTCACTTGCACACACAGGGTCACGGTATAGGGAGTGACACAACCAGATGGCCTGGACAAGCCACAGAGTCCCATGGACACAAGTGCTTACAAACACAGGCACACAAGGTCGTGTACCCAAGGTCAGGCACACACACCCTCTTCATTCAAGTCCTGCCTCCCAGGGCCGGGGTTTGCCTGTCATCTGTCCTTAGGAGGATGGATAGGTGGAGGCACAGGAGTGACTTGGGGCAAATTGGTCCTCCACCCAGAGCCTCTCCCTTTAGGTGGGTCTGGCTCCCAGCACCCCCCTGAGATTTCCCTGGCCCACCAGGGGGCTGTGTCTGGTGGCAGAGAGGGCACTGGAGGAGGCATTGCCCTGAAACCCTGGCAGAGCCTGGACACCTACGAGAGAATGAGCAACAGGGCTAGGAGGTGTGACAGGGAGTCCACAACCTCCCAGGACCTTGGGAGGGCAGGGATGAGGCACTGAGCATGGCCTGGAGGCCCACGGGAAGCAGGGACCCGTCTGCCGAGGGCTGCATCTACTCCTTTCAGCATCAAGCCTGCAGCCAGGTACTGGCACCAATTCCCAGTGCCTGGCAGAGCCCTGGCATGGATGCTAGGCACAGTGTGCCAGACACGGGGGTGGGCAGGGTGGGGGGCCACAGGGCCACACACAAGCATGGAGACCTTCACACACGCAGGCAGAAAAATCCACCCACACTCATACCACTTATTTTACCCCCTGGGGGTTCAGGGGAGCAAGGCAGGGAACACCCTGTCCTAGAGGCTGCCTTCTTCACTGACACCCCTCTGGCCTGGCTCTTGGGGTTGGCGGGGGTGGGCCATAGGTAATGGGAAACCTAGGTGCTTCCTCTGACACCCCACCCGCCACTGACCCACACACACATATATTTGTGAGGTAGGAAGTGGGGTCGTGCGTCCCCAGGGCTAAGCCCTGGAAGGAAAGGGAAAGATGGGCAGAGACTCCAAGAACCCGGAGCGGTCGTCCTGCTTCCCCACCAGCCCCTGTCCCAGGCGGGTTTTGTGGCCGCGAGCTGCTCAGGGGTGAGCGCGCCTTAGGGTGTGTGCGCCAGGGACCTGGCGCCGCGGACCACGTGGGAGTGCGGCGCGTGTACTGGCGCTGGCGGCGGCGGCAGCGGCAGCGGCAGCGGAGACCAGGTGAGCACCGGCTGGTTCCCCACGGTGTTCCTGCAGGCTTAGCGGCCGCGGCGGTGCGATCAGCAAAGGGCACCGGGATGCCGGTTGTGCGTGTCCTCAGGTGTCCCGAACAAGCGTGAGTGGCATGTGCTCACCTGAGCGCGGCGGCTTGCCAGCCCCGGGCGCATGGGTGCTGCAGCCAGACGGCTCCTCTAGCGCAGCAACTTTGGGACTTTGTTCCGGCTTTTTCCAAATCGAATCTGGTCGAGGGGGCGGGGCGGGGCGGGGCGGGGGGGGGGGCACCTGCCCTGCAGGGGGTGCCGGGAGAGAAGTGGAGGAAAGCCCCGCCCCCTCCCCGCCCGCTCCCCGCCCTCTCCCCCGCCCCCGGGGCTCTTTATAAGCTCGGCCCGAGGGCGAGCAGAGGAAGCCTGTGTCCCTCCCGCGCCTGAGGCCGGTGTTCCCCCGCACTCCGCGCCCGGGCCCAGACTCTTTCTCCCCGATCCCCGGCCCGGCCCCCGCCCCGCCCCGCCCCAGCCCGCTGGGCCGCCATGGAGCGCTGGCCTTGGCCGTCGGGCGGCGCCTGGCTGCTCGTGGCTGCCCGCGCGCTGCTGCAGCTGCTGCGCTCAGACCTGCGTCTGGGCCGCCCGCTGCTGGCGGCGCTGGCGCTGCTGGCCGCGCTCGACTGGCTGTGCCAGCGCCTGCTGCCCCCGCCGGCCGCACTCGCCGTGCTGGCCGCCGCCGGCTGGATCGCGTTGTCCCGCCTGGCGCGCCCGCAGCGCCTGCCGGTGGCCACTCGCGCGGTGCTCATCACCGGTGAGTGCGCGGGTCGCGGAGCGCGGGGACTCCAGGCTCGAGGGCGGGACTAGACACTCACAGGACTGACTCCTCATGGGCACGGCCAAGGCGGGCTCCCCAGCGCAAGAGTGGGAGAGTTCTCCTCCCCGGGGTGCAGGGAGCGAGCCAAGTAGGGAGCGCCGGGCACCTCCCCAAGCCCGGGTTCACTACCTGCTGCTGCAGGGAGTGTTGGAGGGAAAGTGAGACAGGGAGTGGGCAGGTTCAAGAAGGAAACTGACTGGTGGCTGAGAAGAGGGAGCCTCCTGGAGTTTGAGAGTTTATGCCATTCCCTTCCCCAAGAGAGCAGTTTCAGGGGACTTCGGAGGCTTTGAGAAGGGAGGATCGTTACCCCTTGAACGCTGCCTGACATCCCCACCTGAGACACCCCATCTCCCATTCCTGGGGCCAGAGGGAAGAGCTTAGATGGGGAACTTCCCCACCCGACCCAACCCCCACTGGCTGGGATCCTTGGAGTTCAGAAAAGCTTGAGGTCACCATGAGGGGCAGCTGGACATTCAGCTGTCTTTCTGTGTAGCCATCCACTGCCAAACTGCTGAGGCAGTAGTTCGGAGCCTGCACCCAGCACCCCACCCCCAAGCCCTCCTGGTCCTCTGTGCCCAGGAAGGAGCTCTTGGAGAGCTGGGCTCAGGTGCCTCTGACGGTATAGCTGAGCTCCTTTGTCTGAAGCAGGGAATAAATCTGTCACCAGAGGGAGGGAAGGGGAAGCGGGGGCTGCAGGCCCGGCCGGAAGTGGGGAGGGGGAGAAAGGCCAGGGGGCACTGACTCCATTGCATGGGGGAGGGGCAGCCTGGTGTCTCCCCCAACACCCATGGGTTTGGACAGGTGCTCTAGGCTTTGTCCTTGCATTGCGCCTGGGCTGGGGCAGCCAGCAACCTGGCTTCTCAGAGACCTGGGTCTACTAGGCGCCCTGTGTGATCAGATGGAGCTGGGAGAATTTTCCGGAGGAGGAAATCCTTGAGTGGGGCCCTGGAGGATGAGTGGAGATAAGTGGAGTATGAAAGGGATCTCAGATCAGAGAAAGGATGTGGGACAAAGGCTTAAGGCAGGAGTACACATGGCCTCTGCAGGGGACAGCCAGTCTGGCTGTGGGGGTGGGGAGAAGAGGATGTGAGGTGGTTTCCTTGGGACCGGCCTTGAATCAGGTAAGAAGTCAGACTGCTGAGGCAGAGTAGGGGGGAAGGAGGCACAAGGGCCACACACTCCAGCAAAGATGGTAGAGATGGGGAAGCGTTCGGGCTGGACAGGAGAGACCCAGGTTCCAGGAGCAGTGTGAAGCCTCAGCGGACCCCAATTTCAGGGGTTTGAGGAAGGAAAGTCAACAGACACCCCTGGTATGAAGTAGGGGCTAGGTTGTGGGCTCTGCCTCTGGGGACAGGGCAGATCCCTTCCTGCTTTCTTTATTTGTGAGCCACCTCAACAGGACCCAGGCCATCTGCAGGTACTAGTGGCCTAGCTGGATGGTCTTTCCTGAGGTCTCACCTCAGGCCTTTGTGCTGCTGCTGTTTCTTCTGGCTTTGAGCCTGAGAGAGAGGTAAGAGGAGGGATGCTTTCTCTAACTTGGGCTCACCAGATCTCTGGTGGCGAAGCTGGGGTTGGGGGAGAGAGGACTACCCAACCTGCCCTGTACAAGCATCAGGAAGCCTCCAGGTTTCCCAGGGCCCTCACACTTGGGGGTTGTCTCTCAACACCCAGCTGGAAGACAAGTAGGTAACCAGGTTCGGCCCCACCTGCCAAGAACACTGTGTCTTGGGCCCGGTAGAGCTGCCACTCCCCCTCCCCCTCCTAAGAATGCCCAGAGAACCACTTGCCGAGGCCACTCCTGGAGCTCAGCTGTGGAATCAGGGTTTGGGCTGAGGGTCAGGTGCCTGTGTGCACGCATGTGCACCAATGGGTGGTAGGGATTGAGCCCATTTTGAAAACATCCAGCCAGGTTGGATAGACAGGTATCTGAGGGTGTGCACATGAGCAAGAGGGTGTGCAAGATGTGGGTGACTTGGGACCACAGACCTGAGGCCTGTGGTCAGCTCAAGTCAGAATTGGGAGGTCTGTTTCCCTTGGGAGGACCTGTCTGCTCTGAGAGGGACCCGGGCAAGTGCACGTATGCATGTGTGTGTACACACACACGCACACACACATGCTTGCCTCCCTCTCCAAGGCAGACTTGCCTGGGGGAGTACCTCTCCTCAGCAGGAGCTCGAAGCCCCCTGCCCAGTGCTGTTTTCAGTAGAGGGAGTGGAGCTGAGATGGGGAGACCGTACTGAGCAGTCCAGGAGTAGGGAAGCAGAGCTGCTTTGCAGCTTCTATTCCAGAAAATGGGGGTTGGGGGGCAGGGTTGAGGGCCAGGGGTGGGGGCAGGAGCAGAACAGAAAGCCTCCCCACTCACTGGCTTTTCCCCTTCCCTCACTGGCTGCCCATGGAGCCAGGATCAGCATGGGAACAATCAAGGAGGCAGGGGCTTATCAGTACTATGGACCCCTACATTGGCTCTGCCTGGTGGTTCTTCTCTCTGCATACCAAAGACAGAAATTAAGCCTCCAAGAGTGGTAACTAACCTTGGTCACACTTGGTGGGTGTGGGAAGGGATTCAAATGTAGGTCTGTTCTCTTCTTCATCTAGCATGGTCCCTGTCCTGGAGGCAAGTACTCTGGGGCTCAGAAAACACCCGTGTTGCCACTGATTGGAAATCCAAGGGTCTGGGTGAAGTGGGGATGGGCCTCCAGCTTGCCTCCAGCTTGCCTCCAGCCTGAAAAAATAGTCGAGCGTGTTAAGGCTGGGAAGGGAGGTGGGGCTCATGTTATACAGGGCCTAAGCCAGGGAGCTTGGGCTTCATTCTGACTGCGGCAGCCTTGGAAAGGTTTGCAGCACAGAGGGATATTGTCATTTTTGGAAAGATCCCTTCAGCTGCTTAGGTAGAGAAGGGCTTCAAGAGGGCAGGAAGGGACAGGAGTAGAGAAGAGGCTGCTTCAGAGTCCAGATTAAGGGAGGAGAGGCCTAGGCAGTCAGAAAGGAAGAGAAGCCGGATGTGGTGGCTCACATCTTCAATCCCAGCACTTTGAGAGGCCAAGGTGGGAGGATCACTTGAGCCCAGGAGTTCAAAACCAGCTTGGGCAACATAGTGAGACTCCCGTCTCTGCAAAAAAAAATTAAAAACCAGCCAGGCAGGCTGGGCGCAGTGGCTCACACCTGTAATCCCAGCACTTTGGGAGGCCGAGGCAGGCAGATCATGAGGTCAAGAGTTAGAGACCGGCCGGGCGCGGTGGCTCAAGCCTGTAATCCCAGCACTTTGGGAGGCCGAGACGGGCGGATCACGAGGTCAGGAGATCGAGACCATCCTGGCTAACACAATGAAACCCCGTCTCCACTAAAAATACAAAAAAATTAGCCGGGCGTGGTGGCGGCGCCTGTAGTCCCAGCTACTCGGGAGGCTGAGGCAGGAGAATGGCGGGAACCCGGGAGGCGGAGCTTGCAGTGAGCCGAGATAGCGCCACTGCACTCCAGCCTGGGCGACAGAGCGAGACTCCGCCTCAAAAAAAAAAAAAAAAAAAAGAGTTAGAGACCAGCCTGACCAACATGGTGAAACCCCAGCTCTCCTAGAAGTACAAAAATTAGCCAGGCCCATGGTGACGCACACCTGTAATCCCAGCTACTCAGGAGGCTGAGGCAGGAGAATTGCTTGAACTCAGGAGGCGGAGGTTTCAGTGAGCTGAGATCATGCCACTGCACTCCAACCTGGGCAACAGAGCGAGACTCTGTCTCAAAAAAAAAAAAGAAAGAAAAAACCAGCCAGGCGTGGTGACACAGGCCTGTAGTCCCAGCTACTCAGGAGACTGAGGAGGAAGGAATGCTTGGGCCCAGGAGGGGAGGTTGCAGTGAGCCAAGATCATACCACTGCACTCCAGCCTGGGCAACAGAGCGAGACCCTGTCTCAAAAAAAAAAAAGAAAAGAAAAGAAAAAGAAAAAAAAAGAAAAGAAAAAGAAAGGGAGGCTCCGTACTAATACTATGCCTGTGCCTGTGAGCTGTGACCTGAAATCAAGAAAGCAGAACTACACTGGGGCCTGGGACTGTCCCAGACCTGACCTATGTGGATTTGGGAAGCAACTTAGCATTACTAGGCCTTAGTTTCCTCTTCTGTAAGCCACATTGGTAGGGCAGCCATGGGGAGTCAGACAGATGACAGCTGTCACAGAGTTAGGGCCCAGGGCTCAGCTAGAGGGGCAAAGCCTGCCAGAGATGGGCCTAGGGAAGGAGTTAGGGTCGTTGATTGCTGGTGGCTTGGGTTTGCAGGGGCCTGGATCCCATCCAGACCCTGGTGATTGTGGGGTTGTCTCAGGCTAGGCTGGGCCACAGTGGAAGTTCACTGACTGCCCTGCCCTGGCCAGGCTGTGACTCTGGTTTTGGCAAGGAGACGGCCAAGAAACTGGACTCCATGGGCTTCACGGTGCTGGCCACCGTATTGGAGTTGAACAGCCCCGGTGCCATCGAGCTGCGTACCTGCTGCTCCCCTCGCCTAAGGCTGCTGCAGCTGGACCTGACCAAACCAGGAGACATTAGCCGCGTGCTAGAGTTCACCAAGGCCCACACCACCAGCACTGGTCAGTGGCAAGTGTCCACCAGGCAAGGGCATGGCAGGGCAGTGGGAAGGACACGGGGACTGGAAGTTTGCTGCTGGGCTGACCTGAGGCTTCCTCCTCTGCTCTGTGACCTCAGGCCTGTGGGGCCTGGTCAACAACGCAGGCCACAATGAAGTAGTTGCTGATGCGGAGCTGTCTCCAGTGGCCACTTTCCGTAGCTGCATGGAGGTGAATTTCTTTGGCGCACTCGAGCTGACCAAGGGCCTCCTGCCCCTGCTGCGCAGCTCAAGGGGCCGCATCGTGACTGTGGGCAGCCCAGCGGGTGAGTGCCTGCCCCACTGGAGCAAAAAGGAGCCCCCTGGGGTGAGGGAGGGCTTAGGGAGCCCCTTGCCAAAGCTGAGCTGCCCCACTCCCAATCCATCCACAGGGGACATGCCATATCCATGCTTGGGGGCCTATGGAACCTCCAAGGCGGCTGTGGCGCTACTTATGGACACATTCAGCTGTGAACTCCTTCCCTGGGGGGTCAAGGTCAGCATCATCCAGCCTGGCTGCTTCAAGACAGGTGGGAATCAGGGCTGGGGGTGGGGTGGGGGTGGGGAGTGGGGCTGGGAATGGTCTTATGGGGGCAGGTCAACTTTGATGAACGGTTGTGGTTTTGGTTGGGGGTGTGGTTTTGGCTGGAGACCTGGCGCAGGTTAAATAGTCCTAATTGACTTTGGCTCCCCTAGCTGAGCCCGCTCTGACCTTGCCACTCCTTCCCCAGAGTCAGTGAGAAACGTGGGTCAGTGGGAAAAGCGCAAGCAATTGCTGCTGGCCAACCTGCCTCAAGAGCTGCTGCAGGCCTATGGCAAGGACTACATCGAACACTTGCATGGGCAGTTCCTGCGCTCGCTACGCCTGGCCATGTCCGACCTCAGCCCAGTTGTAGATGCCATCACAGATGCGCTGCTGGCAGCTCGGCCCCGCCGCCGCTATTACCCCGGCCAGGGCCTAGGGCTCATGTACTTCATCCACTACTACCTGCCTGAGGGCCTGCGGCGCCGCTTCCTGCAGGCCTTCTTCATCAGTCACCGTCTGCCTCGAGCACTGCAGCCTGGCCAGCCTGGCGCTACCCCACCACAGGACGCAGCCCAGGACCCAAACCTGAGCCTCGGCCCTTCCCCAGCAGTGGCTCGGTGAGCCCTGTGCACCTATGGCCCAGCCAATGCAGCACAGAAGGCTCTGTGAGCCCTTGGTTCCTCCCCGAAAACCCCCAGCATTACCATCCCCCAAGTCTGTCCTGGACCCTAGCCTAAAGGATCCTGCCCCCACTTCATGCCCACTGCCGATGCCCAATCCAGGCCCGGTGAGGCCAAGGTTTCCCAGTGTGCCTCTGCGCCTCTCCACTGCTTCATGAGCCCAAACAGACCCTCCTGGCACAACACTCTATCCTGAAGCTTGGAGAACTCTGCTGGATGGGGAGTCTCGTGAAAGACCTCACTGCAGTCTTTCACAGGACTCTGCAGATGGTGCCTCTGCAAACTAAGGAGTGACTGGGTGGGTTGGGGTCCCCCTCAGGATTGTTTCTCAGCACCAGTGCCTCAGTGCTGCAATTGAGGGTTAAATCCCAAGTGTCTCTTGACTGGCTCAAGAATTAGGGCCCCAACTACACGCCCCCAAGCCACAGGGAAGGTTGTACTGTACTTCCCAATTGCCACATGTTAAATAAAGACAAATTTTTATTTCTTCTAAAATGCGGCAGGTGCTGTTTGGAGGGGGTGGCTGGCTGGCTGGCTGAGTGACATAATGTGGCCGTGTGACAGGGTGGCAACTCCTGGGGCTCAGCATGGAGGCTGGGGACTCCCCTGGTAGACTCTGTGATTCACACCTCCCCCTCCTCCACTGACCTGGGGCAAATCATTTAAGACCATGGGTTTCCTCATAGTGAAATAGGGGTGGCCGGGCGCGGTGGCTCAAGCCTGTAATCCCAGCACTTTGGGAGGCCGAGACGGGCGGATCACAAGGTCAGGAGATCGAGACCGGCCTGGCTAATACGGTGAAACTCCGTCTCTACTAAAAAATACAAAAAACTAGCCGGGTGAGGTGGCGGGCGCCTGTAGTCCCAGCTACTCGGGAGGCTGAGGCAGGAGAATGGCGTAGACCCGGGAGGCGGAGCTTGCAGTGAGCTGAGATGCGGCCACTGCACTCCAGCCTGGGCGACAGAGCGAGACTCCGTCTCAAAAAAAAAAAAAAAAAAAAAAAAAAAAGAAATAGGGGTAATGACCCTGATCCCAATTGCTTGAAGCAACTGGAAAGGCCAGGGGCCTCCAGGGCCAACACCTAGCTTCCCAGGCCTGTATGCATCTGAGCCTCCAGCAGAAGAAGGAGCTATTTTCCTGGAACTCCCCAACCCTGAAGAATCTGGGCTGCTGACTGAGGGAGGGAAGTGGAGGCTTAGGCAGGGTTGCTTAGCAAGGTGGGGTCACAAGGGAAGTTAGGGGTCATGGAGAGGTACTAGGGTCTAAAGGAGACAGCAGACAGTTGGGCTTAGAGAGGGCAGTTTTATTGTCTCAGAGGGGCAGGGCTGAGGGAGGGAGCTGACAAGCAACATCCCCCCAGGCCCCAAGGACACACACACTCTATCCTTCCCATGGGCCACGGCTCTGGGAGTGACTCACAGAAGGGAGAGGAGGCTCGAACTGCCCCCAGCCCCCAGGGTTCTCAGGTTAGGGAGTTAGGGAGGAACATGAAAGTGACCACATGCTTCTTAGACACATCAGCGGCTGTAAACACAGGGCTGAGGGGGCCTCCTTGCTCTGGAGGGGGTCTTGGTCCATCCTTGGTGAGGGGTGCCCAGCCCCTTTTCAGGCCTAAGAACAGTCTCTAAGAGGGTCAGGAGAACTGGGCAGCCGCTAGGACAGTGTACTACACCCCGGGCAGGCAGGTGAGCCACAGGCTTGTCACAGACCACACACACACACACACGCGCACACACACACACACACACACACACACAGTGCAATTGAGAGCCTCGGGCCAGGACGCTAGAAGATAGGGATGTAGTTGTCGATTTTGGCGCGGTGGCGCTGGGCGATACATTCAGCGATCCACACGATGTTGCGACACTCCTGCTCCTTGAGCTTCACAAAGGCATAGAAGACACCAAAGTGGAACTGGTTCAGGAAGGCCAACTTGTTCAGCTTTACCTGTGGACACAGGAAGATGTGGTATCCAGGTGGCCATGGCCACAGAGTCAGGTCTAAACCACCAGGTTGGCCTCCCTCTGACAAGCAGACCCCACAGACTCACCTCATGCTCAAAGAATCGGTCCTCCAGCGTCTTGTCTCCAGGGTTGCTACCTGCACCCTCGAAGAGCAGCTTGTACTCCTGGCCAGGGGGGTGGGGGAAAGCATGAGCATGAGGGTTCTGGGTGGGTGTGCTTGGTGACAACACGCCCACCCGCTGTCCTGCCAGCTGGGGCACTCACCGGGTAGTAATCGGCCACGTTCTTGACCTGCTCATAGTCATCAGCCCGAGCCAGCTGCGCCAGGCCCTCAGGGTAGAGCCGCCCACAGTGTGGAAAGAGCTTGGCACGGTCCTCTTTGGACAGCTCTGTGCCGAAAGAATTGATGGTGATGATGAAGGCGCGGCGGTCTGCTTCAAACTGTGGAGCCAGTGCACAGGTAAGGAGAGAGGGAGGAAGAAGAAGGCAGTAGCCAGTCAGTTGGCAGAGCCTCCCCAGGCCAGGGCTAGCGGGCACCAGCAGGCAGGAGGGCGGGCAGGCACTCACCTCTAGGATGGGGCACATGGCATCGGCCGTAGTCCCGCCCAGTAGGGTGCAGAACTTGTAGAAGGACTCCAGGTATGCCTGTGCAGAGCATGCAGCTTGCTCAGCACAGGCAAGGAGGCTCTGGAGGGCCAAGCCCTCATAGCTCCCTCCTCCCCTCCCTAGCCCCTTTCAAGGTGGGTACAAGCACACCTATGGATGGGCCAGGGCAGCCCTTACAGCAAAGCCAAACACTTCTGTGAATCAGCCAAGTGGCAGCTGCCCATAGCCTTCCATGCAGGAGTGCCAGGGCAGGGCCCACTGGACTGTCTGCTTCAGCCTACAGTCCCCTTCACCCCCTCATCTCACAGAAGGCTGGGCTCGCAGGGGTCCTCTGACTTCCCCCTGCTGCTCTGCCTTCCTTTTCCCCAAATCTTTCCAAACCTCCCCTTCCTCAGCTTCTGAAAACCAGGTGTGGCTGGATGTGGTGGCTCACGCCTGTAATCCCAGCACTTTGGGAGGCCAAGGTGGGTGGATCACAAGATCAAGAGTTCAAGACCAGCCTGGTCAAGATGGTGAAACCCTGTCTCTACTAAAAATATTAAAAAAACTAGCCAGGCATGGTGGCGGGCGCCTGTAATCCCAGCTACTCGGCAGACTGAGGCAGAGAATTGCTTGAACCCGAGAGGCAGAGGTTGCAGTGAGCTGAGATCATGCCACTGCACTCCAGCCTGGGCGACAGAAAGAGACTCCGTCTCAGAAAAGAAAAGAAAACAAAACAAAACAGGTGTCCGTGGGCTGGTGAGGAAGGCCACACCTGAGAGTCCACAGGGATGGCAGGGACTGAGTGACCCGGCCCTCTCTGCCACCCTCCCTTACAGAACACCTCCTCCTCCCATCCTCCAGGCAGTCCCTCAGCATCACACAGCAAGAACAAAATTGTCAGGCCAGTTCCTGCTGAGGGATGGTTATTGCCTACACGGACGTCAGCTGGGCACAGTACAATGGCAGGCACATGGGCTGCCGGCGGGAACAAGCACTCCCTGCCCAGGCAAATTGGATCTGCTGGGCATGAGGAAAGAAGAGGTCAGCCCAGGCCCCAGGTCCCTCCCAACACTCACTCACAAGAGCAGCCATGCTTCCTCCCAACACCTCTCCATGCCAAGGAAGGTGGATGATCTTACGGGCCCCATGGGGAGCTCCCTTGTAATGGCCAGCCTCCACTTAGGCTTCCCTAGTCCCATCTGCTGGCATGGGCTCAGAGACTCTGGCTCCACAGGCTAGAGATTATTCTTCCAGGTTGCAGGCAAGGGCTGGATGGCATGGAAAGCTTTTCATACTGAGGTCTAAACTCCAAGGTGTGGAGACCTTTCCACCAACTATCAGCCAGTTTGGGCTCACAGGCTTTGCTGGGTGGTGCTCCAAGAGAGATGAGATGAGACCCAGGAGTCTGTGAGCCCAGGTCTGCCCTGGCGAGCAATGCTGGGCAAGCTCGACTCAGGGGAAGGCCTGAGAGTGACCTCTGGGATCACGGGAAACAAAAATCTAGGACAGGTCAGGGAGTAAGAAGCCTGGAAGAGAGGGTTGACCCCAGCACAGAGGATCTCAGGGATCAGAGGGCCTGGGTGGCAGAGATAGCTGCCAACCCCTCCCATGGTTTGGTGGTACCTTTCACAGTCCCTCTAGGGGCCTGTCCCCACAGTCACCTCCTTCCCTGTGGCCAGCCAAGCTGGATATGTAAAAAATCCCACAGCCTGCCCCAGTGGGGCCTGCACTTCCTATTTGTGGGGGAACAACTAACCAGGTCTTGGGCTCCATGCCCTGCTACCTACCCAATTGCTTAGCCAATCTGTACCAATCCCAGGAGAGGCTGATCCCAGGGTCAGGGAGGCTGGTGGGACTCTTCTCTGGAGGCTAGGGCAGCTAAAGAAACTGGCAAGATCCCAGCAACCCCAGTACCAAGGTCACCTTCCCACCCCCACCCTGTCCCCTGGAGTCTGCCAGTCCACGGCTGCTGCACCAGCTGCCTACTGTTCCCACCCGCCGGGTGGCTGAGGGTCCACCTAATCTCCCATCTGTGGTCATCGGGCTGGGACATTGCCTGACAGGCTGGCAGTCCTGGCACAAGGCCCACAGCATTGGGTCCATGTTTACGAGCTGGTGCCTGGGTAGCCCTCGCCAGCAACTCCAGCTAGAACCAGTCAGGCCCGGTGAGGGCATGGGTGAGGCTGGTGGACAGCCGCACCCCTCACCCTGTCTCAGGGCAGGAACCCGGCAACAGGCCAGCTAGGCGCGTGCGTACACACACACACACACACACACACACACACACACACACACACACACACACGTATGTTCTCTCTCCTCTCAGCTAACTGGCTGGCCACACACACACACACACACACACACACACACACACACACACACACACGTATGTTCTCTCTCCTCTCAGCTAACTGGCTGGCCTGTGCCCTATTAGTGGAGTGGGTGAGAGCACTCACTTTTGCAAACAAGCTGAGCCAGGTGTGATCCCTGGCACTGCCAGTGACTTATTATGTGGCTTTAGGCAACCCACCCTACTTCTCTGAGCCTTCAGTTTCCCCATTTTCACATGGGGATAATGACACCTTCCCAGTTCCTAGTGCAGTCCAAAGGATTAAAGAAGCTGACGACCTTCCCACCTCTGGTCTCAGGCCTTCTAATCTGCTCTCCACGTTGTGGCTAGAAGGGGCTTTCTGAGAAGACTCTGCTCTGTTGGAAACCTCCACTGGCTGACCCTGCCCACGGGACTATGTTCAAACTTCTGGCCTTACATTCAAAGCCCTGGGTAACTTGATCCCATGCCTGCCTCTTCTTCTAGACTTCTCCCCTGTCCATCTGGAATGTGTCCTTCCACAGCAAACTGCCTGCAACTTGGCGCATGCTCCATGCTTTCCTTCTGCACGTGTTGGTCCCTTGCCGACACCACTGCAACCTCCAGGCAGGCCC